TTGGGCATGAACTGGTGCAGCCAGAACAACTTCTTTTTTCCCTAATACGAATCAGTTCTCTATCATTAGCTGCTTGTTCGTAAAAATTAATGTCAGATCGATGCTTGATATATTCTTCCTTGTTGGATCGCTTTCGTCTTCGATATCCATATGTATATGTCGACCATCGACAACGTACATCATCGTTGGCATTGGCATCTGAAACAGGAATATCAATTTGTAATGTTCTATTTACAATGACATATTGTGGAGAAACAATCGAAGCAACAGGTGGAGTATTAATAAATCCATCTGGTCGTTTGCGAAGATCGATATATGTTACAATAGACCATTCAAGACCTGTTTCAGCAGGATCATTTAACGGCGCCCAAGCATTTCCTCTATTAGCTAGATAAAAATGTGCATCAGCAAATAGAGTAATATTTTTCGATCGTTCACTTGTCATCATTTGCAATGATGAACTAGCTGATGTACAATCGGTGAGAATATTAACTGACGTATTAGAATAACCACCATCAGTCGAACAGTCAACAACACAAGTTAGATTAGTGTTAGCATTAGCCCATGTGCTAGTCGAGATTGGTACATTGTTGAGACATTTTACATATGGATATGTCCATGAATAAGACTGTGTAATAGTAATATCAATTGAAGAGGAATTATCATAAGGATCAATGGGAGCCCATCGAATAGTTCCTCCATTGAAATGTTTTCCATCGTTAAAAATGAAAGAATAAAACAATATGAACAGACCCAAGTACATTATCTGCGACTACCTACATCAATGAATCATAACCTATAAAAGTAAATGTGTCGAAGAATATCACATAATGAAAAATAGTTGCTAATGACTACTCAGAAAATTTCATGAACTTATTCTTTGATGACTGAAGTGCATATTGAAAATGAATCTCTCTCAGCAAAATATTTTCTCAACGAATGAAAGAAAACCGATTAGCTGTTCGATCGAGTTTGCAGCAAGATGTACGTTTTTTAATCGAGAAAAAAAGATATGGTTTATCTCGACAGAGTAAGTCTGAATACAAATATGTATTACTTGTTTCTATGTACAATTATTATCTATATAAATACTCATTGACGTAAATGACCAAAAACCAAAAAGATGGCTTCCGTAAATGTTTTATCAAAATTACGAAAAAGAATGACACATCGGATGATGAAACGGATATAAAAATTGATGTAGTGGTCTCATATTCATTCATTAAAGACGACTCCTTAATGAAGTAAATTCAACAAATATGACTTTAATCAAAATCATGAGATTAAATCGATGGCAGTGTCTGTTTTTAATGAATGAATATGAAAAACATGAATTGTTACGTCAGTTTCATCAATTTAGTATAATTTTTCTGATTCTTTTTAAATCCATGGTTAACATGTTATTGAAACTTTACTTTCTTAATGTTACAATATGTGAACTATAACTAGCTCTAATAATTTTCAAGAATAACTGACTTTTTAAATGTCTCTATCAAAGAAACAAAACTCGATAATTGCTGTGACCTATAGATTCTCATGATGACATGCATGTTAACAACATTAATTTTAATACCTGTATATACAG